ATAATGCTCGAAGGACCAGTGTTGACAAATAAACAACACGTAAAATTGATTGATCTTGCTATATTTGGTTAGCTTACAACAAAAATGCACTGTGTGCTGTGATCTGGTGAAAACTTAAACGATTATGAATAAGCGTAAAGGAAAAATCATGCTGCTGCATGTTTGAACGAAAACGAACTAGAAAGAAGAAAACGGAAGTGGCGCACGAGTAGATACGGAAACGAACGAACACAAACGAACGCAGAAACGAGCGCTGATGAGCGAACGCTGAGGAGAAGGGGAACGCAGGTAGCGCTCCTTTCAGAAGGAGGGAGCGTAGCAGAGCGAGCGAAAATACAAAAATGAAAACGTGCATAGCGCGTACACAATGTATCTGTAACTTGGCATGAGAACAAAATCAAAAGAAGTGAAAATATTGTGTCTAAAGCGGTTAAGTATTTTTTTTCTTTGAAAATTTATATTATAATTTTTATGTTATAATCGCTTTCTTGTTTACTTACGAATTGACTCTCATTGTCCTTCACCTCGTATTAATTATTATTTTCATATAAAGAGTCCTTCAACTTTAATTTTATTTAGTTTTAATGTACTGTGACAAATTAAATTAATTTAATTAAATTAATAAACTATAATTGCAACGATAAATTTTTCAATTTAGATATCATATTTGTAATCAGCGACCTTGAAAATCACAGAATAAGTATTTATAGCCAAATCCAACGATGTATCTAAATTTTTGCCGTATTAAATTCGTTATTTTGAATTTTGTGATTTTGACCATAAATTTTATAATTTTTACCATCATTGATCTCAAAAACCCTCGGATAAGACTTTATAGTTCAATCGTTTCATATATCGAATTTTGGCCAAGATTTCGGGTCGTCTGTCCCACTGTGCGGTGGACGCTGCGGACGGCGCGCTTGCCAGGCTATCCCCGCTCCCAGCGGCCCACACGCTATACGATTCGTGGGATGGGCGTATACCGGGTGGTCCACTTAAATCCTACACATCTTGAATATTTCGTTTATTTTTGACAATACGAAAAAATGTTTCAAATAAAAATAGAACGGTGTCGATGGGAACACGTTTTAGTCACATTGTTTTTTTTCTAAGGCGCTAAAAAGATATGAAGGTCACCTCCACTTTTTTAAATGGAATTATGTAATTTTTTTTAGATAACGTGATTCCTCTAATTATTTTGCATATAAAAGTATAGATACCAAAAACCAGGGAATGGAAGTAACTCGTTACTTGTAACGAAGTTACAGTTACAAGTTACTTTTTTGGTAACTTTACTGGTAACTGCGTTACTTTCTTTTTTTGGTAACTGTAACGGTAACGAGTTACATTTTTTGGGTAACATTTTTTTTTTTAAATAAAACTATATATTTGTCAGTATTACATATAAAAAAAAATGCAAAAGTACATTTTTTAATTGATTTTAAAAAAGTAACGGAAAAGTAACGAAAAGTTATTTTTCAAGTAACGGTAACTGTAACGAGTTACTTTTAAAAAGCGATAACTGTAACTGTAACTAGTTACATTTTTTACTCGGTAACGAGTAACTGTAACTAGTTATTTTTAAAAAGTAACTTTCCATTCCCTGCCAAAAACCAATAGTTTTCGAGATATTTTACACTTTATTTTGATACATATTGACACAAAATGTTAAATAACTCGTAAACTGTTGACTTTTTGTTTATCGTACCTTAATACTTTTGTGAACAGAATATTGAGATAAATCAAATGGTGTAAAGAAAACACATAGTTGCTTTAAAAAAAAATATGTATACAAAATGGATAATTTTTTAAATACGCAACTGTGTTTACGTGTGTGTGAAATCGCTGCTTCGATCTCGACTGAGATCTCGAATGACGGAATGGATTGGTGGACTGGACGGTTGAGAACAGTGAGCACTCCCTTGTTGTATGCAAGTTTTATTCACCAAAATAAACGCAGTATTATTCGCGTGGCACGGCGAGAGAGACGATTAACTGCGGTTAATTCGCCGATACTCATCCACAACGGTAGTCGATGAGACGTCCAAAGTAACGAGTCGCGGTAGCGAACCCGTAGAAAGAAAGCTGCTGCTTTCAGCGAGTAATTTGAGAGCACAACTTGACACGGCAAGTACTGATTTGTGTCTGAGGGTAGAATCGCGCTGCACGATTAGTGCGACGAATCGGCAGGACGACAGTGACATCGGTATCCAAATATGCGGCTAAATTGTAGTAATGATATTCGCAAGACGGCGCGGTGAGTGCGACGAAAGATTCACGAACGGAATCGATGGATGGCCCAATCGATCCTTCTATTCGGCTTTGTGGCGCGAAACTTATCCTATTCCTGAACATATCGCCCGCCTCGGCTAGACTAGCCGAAACAAGATTATTTGATGCCGCCCGCCGTGCCAATCGAGTTTACAACCATATGATACATGACGCTTTACACTTTACTTAGATTTAGATAGATATGATACACACATAGAAATATTTACATAGAGAGGTATATGAGAACATTAACTTATAATACAGTAAGTTCGAGCTAAAGGAGTTCGATCAATGAATGCCATGAAAGGAAATCGTTCATGTGGACGTTTCGTTTAAATCAATGTAAGAAACATAGCTTCACTATGGAACGTTTATACGTCGATTTTGACGTTTTCACAGTGACGACGCGCGTTAGTCCGTCGTCTCCCGTGTGGCATTCAATGATACGACCGAGTTCCCACACGGAGAGAAGGATTTCTTAAAATTTACCCTGAAAATATAGTAATTATGGTACAATACAACAAATTCAAAGATTTTTACCATGCACTTCAGTAAAATTAATCATACTTATTTTATATTTTATTGTAGTTTTATTAATGAATGTGAGAGATTTACATAAAAATTCTTCGAAATATAATGTTGTCCCATGATTACCATATTTTCAGGGTAAATTTTAAGATATAATTCTTTCCGTGCACTTGCACGGTGGTGCAAGGGGATCGCGCAAAAAAACTAGGCGTCCGACTTGGGCGAGTTTTTCAGCGACGCGCCATTTTGAGCGCTGTAATCCGGTTAAATAATCATTTGACCATGCTTTCCAAATAACTTCGCCTTTTTGCTTCACGAGTTGCCATCGAGTCAGGTGCGTTTCTTTTGTTTCAAATAGCGTAGGAGATGGCGGCGTTGTGAGAGCGCTACCAATTAAGAAATAACCCGGTGTCAGACATGAATAATCATCAAGATTATCTGACATCGGAGCTATCGGACGTGAGTTGAGGCACGCTTCGATTTGATAGAGCAGCGTCGTAAGCTGTTCGAATGTCAGCGTGTATGAACCGATAACGCGTTTGAGATGATATTTGACGCTGCGAATGCCGGCTTCCCATAGGCCTCCGAAGTGAGGCGCGGAAGGGGAAATGAAGTGCCAACGGACACCGTCGCACGACAGTTTGCTTCGCAAGTTTGAATCTTGTTTTGCTGCATGAATTGCAGCTTTCAATTCGTGATCAGCTCCGCGAAAATTCTTTGCGTTATTGGAATATAAATCGGTCGGCATCCCGCGCCGAGAGCAGAAGCGCGCGTATGCTGCGAGAAACGCGGCGGTAGTATAATCGCTGACTAAATCGAGATGTATTGCGCGCGTCGTCATACAGACGAATACGGCAATGTAGGCCTTCTGAGATTTGTATCCACGGCCTGAATTTAATCTGACAGGAACGGGCCCGGCATAGTCAAGTCCGCAATGTAAGAATGCGCGATCGACTTGTCGAATGCGCATTGCCGGGAGATCGCCCATGAGTTCACTGGGGATAACCGCCTTTTCGCGCGTGCAAGTAATGCAACGATACAAGACGGCTCGCACAGTTTGACGAGCGCGAAGAATCCAAAATTCTTCGCGTAAAACACATAATGTTAGTTGCGTGCCCGCGTGGAGCGAACGCAGATGAGCGTGTTGAATTATCAACGTAACGAGTGGATGTGCTGCTAGAATGAGAGGACATTTAGCGTTATATGAAAGGTCGGATTTTCGTAATCGACCGCCTACGCGAATTAAATTATCGTCATCCAAGAATGGATTAAGTGAGATTAGTTTGCTAGTTTTCGCTACGGGTTTCGAATTTTTTAATCGACGCACATCATCGAGAAAAAGATTTTGTTGAATGACGCGTAACCAAAATAGTCGCGCGTGTTTGTATTCGTCCACCGAAATTATATCGGATGGAATAGAATCGGATTCGTCGTTTGACGACCGCTTTTTGTATATACGATTTCGAAGCTTATTAATAAAGCGGATTAGATAGGCCGTTATGCGAAGAAGCTTCGGCCATGAAGAATAGCGGGAAGCTAAGTCCCATTGAGATTCGATATCGAGAGTTCGTACGACGATGGTCGAACGTTTTTCGAGCGAGGTGTCGTAACCTTGCCGAGATTCATTCGGCCACAGACTTGAAGAAAACTTGAGCCACTCGGGACCTTGTCACCACAGTGAGCTCTCCGCGAACGAGGAAGCGGTGACTCCACAGGATGTTAGATCCGCGGGATTCTAATGAGTCGGAACATGATGCCACGTGGCATCAGGTATTAGAGTTTGCACATCGTTCACGCGATGCGCGACAAACGTTTTCTATCGAGATGGAGATTGGCGTAGCCAGGCGAGAGTGACGGTTGAATCCGTCCAGCAATGACATGGAATTGTCGAAAGTTCTAATGTCGTTCTAGCAAACGACATTGTTCGTGCTAAAAGCGCAGCAGCGCATAGTTCGAGTCTTGGAATTGTCAAGGGGTTAAGAGGCGCGACTTTTGATTTTGCTATTAATAGCGAAACGGTAACTGATTCCATGAGCGAGATCACTTTGAGATATACGACAGCGGCATATGCGACGGACGATGCGTCAGCAAAGCCGTGAAGCTCACAGTGACTTGTGTCGGAACCGAAGGCAGTCCATCGTGACAAAGAGATATTACGCAGTTTAATTAGCTGCGTGTGAGAATTGTGCCATTTCTGCATGAGCGGGGGTGGAATTGGATCATCCCACGAACACTTAGTAGCTCACAATTGTTGCATGATAATTTTGGCAGTAATTATGACCGGAACAAGCCACCCGAGTGGGTCAAATAATTTTGCTATAGTAGACAGAATTTTCCGTTTCGAATCGGGGACCGTTGCTGTAACTTCGACTGAGAATTGAAATGTATCGGTAGCAGGGAACCACGTGACGCCTAAGACTTTGAAACTTTCGTCGCTTTGTAGAATTTTGCCTTGACTGAGACTCTTTTCATTGACCGGTAGGTCGTTGAGTAACGTAAGGCAGTTGCTTGCCCACTTACGGAGGAGGAATCCACCTTTTTGTAACAATGAAATTAATTGATTGCGGATTTGCCTTGCAAGCGACTTGTCATCCGCGCCGAAGATGCAATCATCGACATAGATTTGATTGCGTAAAACTGATTGAGCAAGAGGAAATTGAGCGCCTTCGTCTTGCGTCAATTGCTGAATCGTATGAAGAGCGAGGTATGGAGCACACGCCATACCGTAAGTAACAGTAAGCAAGCGGTAGTCTTGCATCGCTTCGGATGATGAAGAGCGCCATAAGATGCGCTGATAATCTTGATCTCGCGGATCGACTTGAATCTGCCTATACATTTTTGCGATATCGGCAGTGAAAACATAACGATGTTGTCGCCATCGAAGAATTACCGAACGAAGGTCGGTTTGTAACTTAGGACCGATCATGAGATGATCGTTAAGTGAAGAGCCGTTCGATGTCGACTGAGATGCATTGAACACGACGCGCAACCGCGTGGTGCTGCTATGCTCGCGAATCACCGCATGATGCGGGATGTAAACTGATTGTGAAGCAGAGACTGGTTCGTCTACTTTCTTCATATGACCGAGATTTTCGTATTCCAGTAGGAATTCTCAATATTCGGATGCGATATCCTTTTTATTTTGAAGATGGCCTTTAAGCCGTGAAAGAAGTGATGAGGCGATGTGACGAGATTCGCCTATTGCAATCGGAGGATTGGCTTTGAACGGTAGCCGTACGACGTACCGTCCATTAGAGTCATGAGAATGAGTTGCTCGGAAATGTTCCTCACAACGTTGTTCCTCAGGAGTGAGGTATGATAATTGCGGAAGTTCTTCGACTTCCCAGAACTGACGAATTTCGTCATCGAGATTGTCGTGCAACGTGGTATGATTAACTGTCACGTTAGACATGTTTGAAGACGAACTTGTCGAAATCGGACCAGACATGATCCAGCCGAAAATGGAATTTTGTGCTGTTGGTTGATTAGAGGAACCTGAGCACAGGCCCGGTAACAGAACAGCACCGTATAGATCAGCGCCGATGATCATTTCGATCGGATCGGCACTTGAGGGCTGTGAATCAGCCCATGGCAGGCCGCTTAAATGAGCGAGAGAGATTTGATATGCTATTTTAGGCGGCGTGTATTTAGTCAGAGAGCGCATAATAATTGCGGTCGTTGAGTATGACGGACCCTTGCCGGTCTTAGATGATACCGAAATCAGAGCAGCATGTCGTACGACGAATTGCGTTTCACCGATTCCGGTAACCGAGACAGCAACGCGTGTTCGCGATAACCGTAGCCGTTGAGCGAGATTTTCACTAATTAAACTAGTGACAGATCCTTGATCTAACAATGCGCGTATGACATCTGTGCGACCAGACGAAGAACACACCTGAATCCGCGCGGTAGCTAATAGAACACGAGATTTGTCAAATGTTGTTTTCGTAATTAAATGTGAAACGACGTTGTTTTCATTTGACGTATTCGTTTCGTTGGATTCAAGGGAATTCTCGGTCGCGCTTGATGTCGTCGCTTCGTGAAGCATCGTATGATGCCTTTGTTGGCATTGACGACAGTTATGTTTACTCGGACATGTGTTCGCGAAATGTCGAGCGCTTAAACAGTTGAGACATCGTTTAAATTTGACAATAAGATCGCGACGCTCGTTAACCTGTTTCTTCTTGAAATCAGGACATACTGACAAGAGATGATCTTGTTTACAAAGCGGACAATGAGCTCCGGTAGCGGTCGTCGTGTGACTTTGCACGGACGACTTGCTCGGTTTTGTTTTGACCGTACTGGTCGTTGGAATATTCTCGAACGCTCGAATTCGCGATGCGAGAAAGTTATGAAGATCCGTATACGACGGATATTCCGTTTTATCGCCTAAATGTAATTCCCATGCTTTACGCGTGGCTTTATTTAATTTTTGCACGACTAGATAGACGAGCAAATCGTCCCACCACTCAACTGGACGACCGAGATTTTTTAACGCTTGAATTGACATATTAGCTTTATCTCGATGCGACATAAGATCCTGCGCGGAATCGGTATTAACGGCCGGTAGCGTATGAAGCGTATGAATATGTTCCGATACTAATCGACGCTTATCATCGTAACGCGCGAGCAGTACATTCCACGCGATTTTAAAATTAGCTTCGGTCAAAGAGAGATTACGCAACACGTCGCGTGCTTCGTCCTTTAAACATGAATAAAGGTATTGCAAGCGCGTAACATTCGACAACTCTGCATGATCGATAATCATGGAGCGGAATTGATCGTGAAACGTTTCCCATTCCCGTAAATCGCTGGAGAATTTCGGCAAATTATTGCGCGGTAATGTAAGAGTTTTTTCGGATTTCTGTGATTGACTCACGGATAACCCTGGACTTGATGGCGCTTGATCTGCTTCGAGAGAGGCGAGGGCGTCGGAGATGTAGTCCGATGCTGCGAGGTAGGCGTCCTTCAATTCGATGTAGACATCCTCCTTGAAGTATTTCTCGGTATCCTTTTGTTCCTTGGTGGCGACTTTGAGCAGTTGTGCGTGCAGGAGCTCGCATCGAGCGTAAGTCTCCTTGAGAGTTTGAAGGCGATTCCGATCTATGCCGTACGTGTGATTTGCACGGCCGATCTTCTTAAAGTTTTCCAATGCGCGTGTGACAGAGCGCATAGCTAATCGCTGCTGCGATAGTAAATCTTCCATTATGAGTTTGAGAGGTTTCCGTAACTTGGTATGCTCGAAACGGAAATCTTGCGATGTGCCACGTCACTTACGTTCACGAAAGTGAACGAAGAGTCACAATGTCCTTTGTTGTTTATTCGCCACGAATCCGGCTCGAAGGACCAAAATTCTTTATGTTTGAAATCGCTGCTTCGATCTCGACTGAGATCTCGAATGACGGAATGGATTGGTGGAGTGGATGGTTGAGAACACTGAGCACTCCCTTTTAACTTGTTGTATGCAAGTTTTATTCACCAAAATAAACGCAGTGTTATTCGCGTGGCACGGCGAGAGAGACGATTAACTGCGGTTAATTCGCCGATACTCATCCACGATAGTAGCCGTGATGAGACGTCCAAAGTAACGAGTCGCGGTAGTGAACCTGTAGAAAGAAAGCTGCTGCTTTCAACGAGTAATTTGAGAGCACGCACAACTTGACACGGCAAGTACTGATTTGTGTCTGAGGGTAGAATCGCGCTGCGCGATTAGCGCGACGAATCGGCAGGACGACAGCGACATCGGTATCCAAATATGCGGCTAAATTGTAGTAATGATATTCGCAAGATGGCGCGGTGAGTGCGATGAAAGATTCACGGACGGAATCGAAGGATGACGCAATCGATCCTTCTATTCGGCTTTGTGGCGCGAAACTTATCCTATTCCGGAACAACGAGTTATTTAACATTATGTGTCAATATATATGAAAATAAAGTGTAAAGTATCTTGAAAACTATTAGCTTTTTGGTATCTCTACCTTAATACTTTTATATGCAAAATAATTAGAGGAATCACATTATCTAAAAAAATTACCATTTTAAAAAAGTGGAGGTGACCTTCATATCTTTTTAGCGCCTCCACCTAGAAAAGAAACAAGGTGACCAGTACATGTTTCCCTCCGAACCAAACAATTTCTTCCTTAGACATTTTCGCGTATCATTAACGGTAACAGAGATTGCCTTGTAACAGAGTTACTGGGACACCCTGTATATGTGTGACAACACGATCATAATAGTCGAAGCAGAGGTTTTCTCTGCTCGATATTTGCTCGCGTTGCATACTCCAACTCACTCGAAGGCCCGTATTCAACACGCGCTTACAATGATGTTAGCGCTCTAACATGCTATAGTATACTTTACGCATAGTATAGAATTTCAGTGATAAAAACGCGTTTTATCAATAAAAACACGTACTGAATACGAAATGAGTAGAGGAGCTATCATATGTGATTGTATATGATAGATGTAAACAGCACGCGGCCAGCGGCGGCGCGCGGCAGGCAGAGGGCGTAAGTGGATGGTCACAAATCTGTTGTACCGACCTCGATCAAGTTCGGCCGTCGCTTTAGGATCCCCTTAGGGTCTCTTTCACCAACGCCGATTAACTTAATCGACGATTAGTCCATTGGAATTGACCAATCGCGTCTGTTGTCAAAACTAAATGATAAATGCGATTGGTCAATTCTAATGGACTAATCGTCGATTAAGTTAATCGGCGTTGGTGAAAGAGGCCCTTAAAACGTTTTAACATGTAAAAAAAATCATGCAATAATCCCTAATGGATCATTTCAAAGGCCGAAGTCGCCTATTCCACTGTTATCTGAAATAGATAAAAGTGGAATAGACGGCTTCAGTCTTTAAAATAACCCATTGGAGATTATTGCATGATTTTTTTCACAATGTTAAAGTATTTTAAAGATTGATAATTTTTCAGAAAAATGTAACTTTTTAAAAAAAATTTAGCTGTTCTTTAATTTTGTTGCCGATTGGCAGCTGTTATTGAAACTTGAAAACATCTCTGCACATTACACAGAAGTATTTATAAATTGTGATATCAAATGTAAGAATACGTATTATTAATATCAAAATCATTATTTAAATAAATAAGAGAATCCAAATATCTGTAAACTCCTGTTTTATTTTCACTATAAAACAAAAGGAACAACTTTTTAATGTTATAAAATATTTCGAAGTGAACTAGGAGCGCGCGTCGGCCCTGAGCGCCGCATAGATAAGAGAGTTTATTAACTTCAACCTGCTCTTCTGCAAAAACTACAAGTCAGACGCAATTTTGCAAAAGAAAAATATTGTTTCTTTTAACGTAAAGTATGAGTCTGGTACTTCGCGGGTGCGAATTTGAAAATACCTTGTATATTCCTACAAACGTTAACTATGATGAAAAGCAAGAACACGTTACGCATGCATAGAGAGCCTGTAATCAGAGAATCGTCAACTCATCACGTGATACGTTAATCCGTTATTAATAAAGTAACTTGTATAACAGTGTTATACACACCAGTAACACGTTACATCTATTTCTTATTGAAAAGCATGCACAATTTTTTAAGACTTCGAGACGAATATTTATTTGACAGAATTTTAATAATAATAATTTATTTAACCCTTGTGTACACAACCAACTTTTTACCATTAAAGTTAACGTTGTTAATCCCTTCCTTACAAAAAAATTCTTAAAAATTTTTAACTGCACCATTTGCTAAAAATTAAGTTAAATAACGACGATCCGGACGTCCCAAGCGAAATTTTAATTTTCAATCCACTTACATGCAAACCGTGTACTTACATGTACCGTGGTGAGTACCCGGGTACTCGGTTGCGCACACAAAGGGTTAAGAAATAAAGAATTAATTATCTATTTCTTAGCGGTTGGTGCTACAGCTGTATATCCTATCGACTTGGTGAAGACCAGAATGCAGAATCAGAGAACTGGATCATTTATAGGCGAGCTGATGTACAGAAATAGCTTTGATTGTTGTAAAAAGGTTGGAATCAAAAAGTCTCGCTGTGTAACACTTTCTGCATTGTTAATCATAAAGTTGGTATTTTGTGTTTGACAGGTGATCCGGCATGAAGGTTTTTTTGGTCTTTATCGAGGTTTAATGCCTCAATTAATGGGTGTAGCTCCAGAAAAGGCTATTAAACTCACAGTTAATGATTTTATCAGAGATAAGTTTATGGACAAAAATGGAAATTTACCACTGTACGGAGAAATTGTATCTGGCGCCTGTGTGAGTACTTGATATTTTTACTACCCTTTAAAACTTTTAATTAAACGTGAAAAACATAAATTTTATAGAACAAGAAACAAAATAGATTAAATATAAAATTATTAGAAACATGCAATTATTGTTTTTTCTTTTCGATAAAATGAGAATACATAGTGATTTGGATGATTGTATTAGGTTGTTTGGAAAGTTCGTTTCAATTTTGTTGCCCAAATGTACATATATGTAAGGTACCTGAGCCGAATAAGGCCCATCTAATTTATTTTCTTTTCTTTTTATTTTATTTATAGGGATATTAAAATAAACTTTGTAAAAATAAAATCTTTATTCTAATAACTAATAAAAAATGTATACATTTTTTATAATAAAGATTTTTAAATATAAGCAAAAAATTTGTTTAAAAAAAATTTGATTTTGGGTTTTATTACATGCATATGTATTTAATAAAGCCCGAATAACAAATTAATTAAAAATAAACATTATTTAAAAAAAAAAACATTTTTTTAAATAACAAATAATCTTTGGTAATCGTCTTTGACATCTATAGGTAACTTTAACTCAATAAATTTTAATTTGAAGATATTAACAGTATTGAAAATCTGTATCTTGTGATGTAAGTCCCATACATAACTCGTGATACCATTTACCCAGTGAGAAAGCTAATATCAAATCGATATCGATACCATCAAAACACATCGACGCGGTGCATGCATATAAGCATCAGTTTATCCTTGTTTCGATCAAATATCATACAAGGAAAAGAGATGGGCCTTATTTGATGAGTATGTCGTTCCTAAACAATATATTTATTCTAAAAAATTGATATATATATTTATTATTTTTACTGATTAGAGAGTTGAATAATATTATAGTATATTATAATATAATAAATTACAAAATAACGTATATTTAATAAACTTTTTCAAATATTATCAATTTATTGCAGCGGATTTTTATAAAAACGACACAAAACATCCATCTCGTCACTAAGTTCACATTATACTAAAAAACCGAGTTGTTGCCGGTTCTATTTTTCTAGACATCTTCTTATCGGCCCTATGACATATCTTTTAAGTATATAATTTAGACATAAAGTGCATTTATAAGCGGTAATTTTAAAAGTGGGCCTTATTTTGTACTGGGCTTTATTCGGCTCAGGTACCTTATACATCTTCGTATTATAAAAAAAGAACGAAATTTAAATATAAGAAAATGACTTTAAAGCTTGAAATTTTTACTTTTAAAATGTTTTTCTAATCAACTAAAATAATGATATTAAAATTATGGTATTAAAACAAGCCAACAAATTAAATGATGACAATTTTTATTAAAATATTCTATAATTAAAATGAGAAACGTTTCAACATTATACATAAGTTCTCTTCAGTCTCCTTTATCAAGAGACACGGTAGTGTCTCGCGCCAAGTGAACGCGAAGCGCGAGATCGCACGTGTATCTTTACGCGAGTCGATGAGTTCCGTGTACCCGAGATTATCGGATCTCACAATAAATGGCTGAATTTATCAACTTTTATATATCCGTAATTTAGTTTTAGTGTTTAAATTATATTATAAATATGTTTTTATTGTCTACGTACCCTACGAAGGAAGATATCTCGATGTGAAGTTGAAATGTCAAAAATTTTAACATCGGAAATGTTGTCCGTTTCACGTTTTAAACACAGACGGCGTTTTGTCGAAAAAATGTTGTCCGTTTCACGTTTTAAACGACGCTTGCTAGCATATTTTATTTTATATCGATTAGCTGTCAACGTAATGACATTAGATAGATAAAAATCAACAATAGCAAAGGAGGATTTTTGTATCCTGTTATAAAGCAGTCAATATCTTGAAAGTTCACGGAAAAAGTGTTCGAGGCTATGCTTTGAACTGTACTGTCGCCTCTCAAGCAATGCCGAAGAGGATAACGAACGCGAAAATCGCATGTCTAGACTTCTCGTTGCAAAAAAGCTGATCTGAAAAGAATTGCTAAAGCTACAGGTGTGCAATTTCTAATTTCGCTAATCAACATAGAAGGAGAGGAGAGTTTTGATGCTAGTTTTATATAAATTCTCACGGAATTATAATTAGTACCTAAGATACAGTTCGATCGTTAAAGGCATTTTATTGGTTGTGTTTCTCACGGTCTTATAAGATTTAATATTTAAATATTGTTTC